AAAATCTCTGCGGGCGTGCGGATTACGAACAGTGTACCCCGATGCCGGATTTGCTGTCCATTGAGATAGAAGCCATCAGGAAAGCCATTAAATCAACATCAATGGACACATCGCCGGGGCCTGATGGAGTTCTGATCCGCACAATAAAATATTTTGAGGTATCAAGCATTATTAAAACGATTGCAGAGATAATGCTGAAGGTGGCCTATGTTCCGGAACCACTTCGACAAGGGCGCACAATATTGATATATAAGGGCAAAGGTGATATAAACAATATCTCTACCTGGAGACCGATCACCATATACTCGATTGTGCGCCGAATCATAGAGAAGGTTCTGGACTACGAGTTAAGAAAGCAGGTCACCTTCCACAAGAGTCAGAGAGGCTTTATAAAAGGCCTCCCGGGAACGCACGTCAACGCGAGGATCATCGACGCGGTATTAAAAGATGCACAAAAAATGAAAAATGACTGTGCGATAGTTTTCCTCGACGTTGTCGGTGCTTTTGACAATGTTGGGCACAAACACATCGTAAGCTCCTTAGAAGCGAGAGGTGTGTCACCGAATCTTACAAATGTCATATCAGCTCTCCTTAGCACGAACACCATAAAGATTGGCAACGGTGTCCATGCAACTAGCCAGATCAAAGTGCTGCGCGGTGTACCCCAAGGTGGCCCCCTGTCGTCTTCACTCTTCAACCTGGCCATCGATCATCTCTACCGCGACCTGTGTGACGAGGACTTTTCCAAGAAATTTGGATACAAATTAAGGAATGAGCAAGATTGTGTGGTCCTCACAGGTTTCGCGGATGACCAGGCAGTGTCGGCGCGTGACAAGGGGGCTGCAGAAAGAGTGATTGACAGCATACAAAGAACATTTAAAGAAATTGGTCTGGCTATAAATCCTCTAAAAAGTATGGGCATCGTTATAAATAAAGGAGAGCTGGAAACTACGGTGCTCTCCCTTGAGAATGGTGAGTACATCCAAACATTGAAGAATGGAGATACGATTAAGTATTTAGGATGTACATTCTCGGGAGAGCTGCAATTCAACGAAGATTCGGTGACTAAATTGAATGATAATCTAAACAAGCTGGTAACCTCTTGCTTACTTAAACCTGAGCAGAAACTCAACATTGTCAATCAATATCTGTTCCCGGGTCTTACTTACCCTCTCCAAACTGCGCCCCTAACAAAGCTACGTCCTGCTATACTGGAGGGCATCGACACTATGATTCGCAGGAGCGTAAAGGCCATTATTGGACTGCCTGCGAATACTTCCACAGCGATGTTGTATGCCCCCAGGAGATACCGAGGATTGGGATTAATCCGCTGCCAATGGGAGGCTCCTCTTCAACATTGGTCCATTGCTCAGCGACTGTCCAATGTACCAGATGCCCTTTTTCAGTCTACCTTCGATTATTCGGCTGAAATTGCTGAATGTGCCGAGAGATTGGGGGTTGATCAGGGTCATCGAAATGTGAAAGCTCTACGGCAGTCGCTACGAGAAAATGCATTTGAGGAATGGGCCAACTGCAGGTGGCAGGGTATTGGTGTTCGCCATTTTAAAGAGACCCCGAAAGCGAATAGATACATCTACGAAAAGCAAGTACTTTCTGGGTCTGAATGGTCGAATGCCCTAAAACTAAACATTAATTATGCACCCCTGCGTGGAGTCCCAGGAGTCAGCGGACAGGTCAGAGAAGTTGGGTCCCTCTGCCGTAAATGCGGCAGAGAGTCTGAAACACCAGCACATGTGCTGGGAAAATGCCCCAACAACTCCCTCCTCATAACACGTCGTCACCACCGGGTCAAGTTCGAATTGATGAGGCTCCTTAGGGAAAAAAAATTCACCTGCTTTGACGAGGTATATTGCATCGATAGTGAGGGCTCTACGAGATACGCTGATATCGTCGCATTTCCCAAGACAGGAAGGACAGCGCTGATCTTGGATCCAACTGTCCGCTTTGAGAGCAATGACCTCGATCAGGCGGGTGAAGTGGAAAGGGAAAAGAAGAACACGTACGATAAATGTATCCCTTTCCTAAAAGAGAAATTCCGTGAGACCTTCGGAGAGAGAGAGTTCACCGTGAGAGGCCTCTGGTTTGGGTCTCGCGGAACTATCCCAAAAAGAACAAGGAGCTTCCTCGAGGAACTAGGTGTCGACATTAAGGACGTAGCGAGGTTGGCTGAAAATATAGTCCTCGACTCCCTGGGAATCATTCACCACCACGTGCATGGCTAGCCCGAGAGTTTTAATTTATGTATTTGTTTATTTATTTTTTTAGTGAATAATTGAAAACAATAGCGATAAAGAGAGAGAAGTGAGAGAAAGGGAAACTTAATGTTAAATAAAAAAAAAAAAAAAAAAAAAAAAAAAAAAAAGCATGAACAATGAGAAGAGGGAAAAAGGAAAAAAAAAAAAAAAAAAAAATTATAAGGATAAATAAAATAATAAAAATGTATATATATATATATTTCTGTTTTACTAATATTAACTAATACTTCTGTATATTTATATATAAGTTCATGTATTGTCTTAGGGATAGAAGAGTATGCTGTGTGGATAGCAACCCAATGTAATTGGGCAGCAATCCTTTATATTTTATATTTTATGAAAATAAAGTGTTTCTCTCTCATAGCTTTAAACACGAAAAATATAAAAAATCTGACAAATTTCTTTTGTTGCCAGCTTAAAATATTATGTTAAGGATAAATATTATGTTAAATAATATCTTAGATGTAATTGTAAAGGAAAGTAAATCTTATGAACTTCATGGTCCATTATTAAATATAGATTTTCAAAACATCCATATCTCTCTAAAAATGTTTATTTATAATATATTAATTTACTTTTATAGTGTTAATGTTAATTATGAAGTTATACGTTTAAAGTATTCTGAAAATATTCATATGCAAATATTCTTTTAATGCAAGGAACATAGCAAACGCCATTATAATAATTCATGTAGAGATTTATTGATATTTGTTAATGTTAATATTTTGTTTTAAATATATCTATACTGAAAATCGTTTAAGATATTTAAAGTATTTAATTTAAATCGTTAAAAGTGACTACACAATATTTTTCTAAATATGGTGTACTTCTTTCTATTTAATTTATATTTTAGAATATTCATCACGTTTCAGTCTGAGGATTCCAAGTGAGAGTACATCTAATAAAATCGATTTCTCACAAAGTGAGATAATTTATCAATTCTCCAACCGCTACCAAAGATCACTATTCATTATTATTCACAGTTATTCATCAATAATGATAGTCCACGGTACAGACTTCTTTTTATCGAATTATTAACATCCGCCTGAAACTTCGTAAATAGTTTCATCTCATCGTAACCTACAACTATTTTATTTACGAAAACTCTTGGAATTGGGGCGTTTTCAATCTGGAGGGGGGCAAACTTTATCTATTTAATTAGATACTAAAAACTCATTAATACACATTTGTTTTCTACTTGGATCGTAAGATGATTTGATCACAAAGTCGAGAAAAAAGGCCACCTTCAAAAGTATTGAGCCGTTTAGCGTGATCTACACCACCAAAATTTCAAAATAATGAGGTTATATAGGACAAACGGCCCAATATTTTTTTAGGCCACCTTTTTTTCTAACTTTGTATGGAAATTATCTTACGATTCAAGTGAAAAGCAAATGGGTATATAAGAGTTGTTAGTTCCTAATTAAATAAACAAAGTTTGCCGTCCTGCAGATAGAAAACGTTCCAATTCCGAGAATTTTTGCAAATAAAATATTTGTAGGTTACGATGAGATGAAGCTATTTGAGAAGTGTCAGCCGGATGTTATTAATTTGAAAAAAAGGGGTCTGTACCACGGACTAAAATATATATACAACGAAAACCAATTTGGTAATAACAATCAGTAAAGTTTTGGCCTGATTGAAAAAATGTATATGGGTCATTTAAAAAAAACAACCGTACATTGTATGTCCTACTGTTTTAAAAATCATAGCTTTAAACGGGAAAAAATTTCAAAAATCTGATAAATTTCTTTAGTTTGTCTTTGTTACCAGCTTAAAATGACCATAAATAATATGTTAAATAATAATTTTTATGGCTTAGATGTAATTGTAAAGGAAAGTAAATCTTATGAATATTTTATTAATGAATATTATTGAATATTTTATTTATTTATTGGCTTATAAACAGCGTAGTCTGGCCCAATCAATGTCAGTTGTAGTTAGTTTGTAAATAACAGGTACAATATAAAACATGAGGACAATATAAGAAGGAAAAAAGATAAATACATTAATATAAAACAAATTGTTCAGATCAATATAAACTAAATTTCACTGTAGATTCACCAACAAAATTAACTTATTTAAAACATAAAAAAAAAATTACAAATTTTAAAAGAAACAGTGATATATAAACTTAAATATACTTTTTTATGTCGTAATAATGCGATGTATTTGTTGCCAATTTAACGGGTAAGAAAATATATGATATACTAATACACGAATAATCATTAGTTTTAAAGTTACTGTGTAAGTTAGAGGTGGCCTACAAAAATATTGGGCTGTTTGTCCTATATAAACTCGTTATTTTGCAATTTTGGTGGTGTAGGTCACGCCAAACGGCTCAATATTTTTGAAGGCCACCTTTTATCTTGATTTTGCCCTCACATTATCTTATGATTCAGGTTTAAAGTAAGTGAGTATTTACGAGTTTTTAGTACTTAATTAAATAGACAAAGTTTGCCTCCCTCCAGATTGAAAACGCCCTAATTCCAAGAGTTTTCGTAAATAAATTAGTTGTAGGTTACGATGAGATGAAACTATAAACGAAGTTTCAGGCGGATTTTAACTTACACAGTAATTCGATAAAAAGGATTCTGTACCACAGACTATAATGTTAGTATAAACAGACGTATTTTTTATTTTTATTTTGGAAAAGAAAGTTAGCATTAAGATTAGATAATAATTTACATTTTAAGTTGTTTTTAAAACGTGTTTATTTTTTAGTTTTCAGTTGCTGTTATGTTGGTGAGGCCCCGAAGCGAACATTCAGGATGATGTGGCCAGAAGTTGAGGTTCTCATTTCGACAACCTACGCCTCAGCGGGTTACTTCGAAGTTTCGGTCGTCTTCGTTTTTTTCGCATGGCTTTTCTCAGAAAGGTAAGAATTAAAAATATATTCATATAATTTTATTTGTTTATTTATAAATATTACAATCTGTCTCAATAAAGGACATTTATAATAGAGTTCGGAGAGCACATTCACACCATTCATATAATTAGAAATGGAAAATATCGTTCAGAGCAAAGATTCACTAATTCCCTAAAAAGAGTTGGAATTGATGAGAGTTAAAAAAAAAATTAAATAAGATATATAGGCAATTTTGGTTTATTGTTTTTAATAATGAACCACTGTAATTGTCAAAAAACAAAATTAACTCCCTCCCTCAAAATTTGAGGTTTTATGTTTTACGATACCTAGAATTCGAAAATAGCAATAAATTAATTTTGTCCGTCCGCCGTACGCAACTTTTCTTCGAGATTATTGGACCGATTTTTTTTAAATTTGGAATAAAAGTCAGAGGTCACCCTAGGATGATCCTCCTACCTCGATAATACTACCTGCCCTTTCTTTCCAAGATGGCGGCCAAAAACACTGAGTTGCTATAGATTGTAGAGCCTAAACGAATGTACCGATTTAAATGAAACTTGTCTAAAGTCTTCTTCTCGGTGCCCTTTAAATTTGATTTTCGAATAACTCAAAAAGTATACACTTTTGTGTTGATATTGTATATGTAAATTTCCAAAAAATCGTAAGAAAATGTGTTGCTATAGACTGTACCTAAACGAATGTACCGATTTCAATGAAACTTGGCTAAAGACTTCTTCCCGATGTCCTTTAAACTTATCTATAAAACGTACTTCAACGAAATGAAGATTAAGAAGGGAAAAAGGTTAAGAGGGGAGGTAAAATTATATTTCCGAATAACTCAAAAATTATACACTTTTGTGTTGATATTGTATATGGTTAAAAGTTAACGGAATGTTTACGAAATTTCCTTTAAAAAAATCCTTAAAATCGGACTGCTTGGAGCAAAGATATGGTCTCTAGATATTTTTCATATATTCTACTGCAAAGGTTATGTCCTTTGTTTTGGTTTTTGATTTTGGGAAGTGTTATTGAAGTAAGGCTATTTTTTCATTAAATTATTAAAAAAAAATGTTTAGGCCAATAATAGAAATCATCTTCTGTTTCTTTGTCTTTGTTACTAGGAAGGTAATGTTACTTTAGATATATAATTGTTTAGAAATAATAACCCATTGTGAAGTAATTTGCAGCGTTTTTAATATTTATTTATATAGTAAAAACAATTTTTTTCCTGTTTTTAAAAACGTTTGACCGACAATAACTTGCCTAAAGTCTTCCCCTCTGTGTCCTTTAAATTTATCTATTTAATGTACTTCAATGAAAAGAAGCTGAAAAAAAAGTTACGGGGGATGGTAAATTAGATTAAAATTATTAATTTAGTAAAATTAGATCCAAAAAAAAATTTTGTTGATATCGGACTATTTGGTACAAAGATATGATGTTGAAAATCTTTTTATATGTTCTACTGCAAAACTCATATCTTTTCTTTTGCTTTTTTGATTTTATTTTTTAAGTTTTACATCAACTGAAACAATGTTGTCTTCTATTTTTTTTTATAGCAAATTATCAATGATAACAACGAAAATTATTAAGGCCAAATGTTAGGAATCACTTTTTATTTATTTTCATTAATGTTACCTAGAAAGTAATGTTAATTTTGATGTTAAATTGTTTGGGAATGATAAACCATTGTGTAATAATTTTCAGCGTTTTTTATTTATTTTTAAATAATACAACGATCCATCATTGCGGTAGGAATTACTTTTTTCAAGAGCAAAGGTCGGTATTTCGCTACTTCAGATTAGGTGGTTGGAGATATTTTCCACTCAGATGGTTCTAAACCCTGTTGTACTTTGTACAACTTGATGTATTTCGAATCACTCGAAAAAAACAAAAAAACAAGAGAAAACAGATAAAAAAAGAGAGAAAGATACCTATAAATGACAGATCACTTATGTTTCTTTATCAGAACTTTCCTTAGTAATAAGAGAAGAAAAGGAATGATAAAGATAAAGTTATAAATATTTTTATATAATTTTTTTGAAATTATGAACGTTAAACGTGTAATTTAATATCACTTAGCCATTTGATGACCGATAACCATAATTCATCCAGGAACGATTCATCTATACAGGATACCCTTAATGATACCCAGGCTGTCTCTACAAAGTAGTGGGGAAAAAGTAAATGTAAATGAATTAATTTATTTATTTTTTTTAAATATTCTTAAATAGTTGGAAAAATATAATTTTAATTTAACAAACTTTTTTGTACGTAATTAAAAGATAAATTGACAATATACATTATTTCTAATCCCCGGTTAGACTAAATTTTTTTAAAAATTATTTCTTAGTGATATTTGAGGTTGTTACCAAAGTAAACATTTTACTTTTGATTAGAATTTTCCTCTACCGTTCACTAAAACATTCATAACATCTCAGGATTTTCTCCTAATACAATATTACTATAACCGTTGGATAAGTAAATTATTGCTCTTCATATAAATACCTTTTTGATTCAACTCCATAAGGAATAAAAAAATAATAATAAAAACTCCTTACACACTTACGTTATCAATAAATTAAGCTATCGGATCCCTGAAACCATTCGTACGGAACAAGAGTGATGAACATTGTTATGCTGGTTGCCATCCTCAAGTCACCGACCCCAGTAGCCAGGCTACTCATCACCGTTACCGTCCGTATCAACATCATCACACACAAGATGGTTCAAAATGGCTGATATCATCTTCTATACGATAATCATGTTTCGCAATATACTTTCGCAGTTCGATAGTTTAGTTTGAGCGATAAGCCGAAATTAAATACTTAATTGTATTTCCATCTGAAATACCTGGACAAAAAATACTTTCGGTGGATCAAGACGGGATTTTTGGATATCAATAGTTAGATTAAACGACAAAGCTGCTGATGGCAATGCTCGAAGTGAAATAGCCTTGACATCTGGAACAAGAGTAAACTCCTTAATGAGTCTATCAAACTTTCCACCAAGATCTTACTTTCTTAGAGCAATGAAGTTTCAAATTAAAACGTAATATTATTTATTTCAGAAGACATTAACGTGGTAACGTAATCTGCAAAATTGATCTAAAAATGAGTTTAGAATTAGACCAAAATAATTATGCTATATTTTTAATTGAAAATTAAATAATGATTTAACGGAGAGGCTGTTAAATCAATACGTTTTAGAAGTACCTTTAAAAAATCTGGTGCGTTACCCGCATTACACAACTTTCACTAACCAGCTTCTTAGCGGAAATAAGTATTTTCAGACAAAGGGGAAATGAAAGTAAAAATAATAGGTGCTATATTTATTTATACTTTATTGTGGGTATTTTTATTTGTACAAGTGCCCAAAAGTATACAAATTTTAATATTTATATCGCTGTAATCTATATAATTAAATATTAAATAATATCAACAATCGCAGTTAAGAAAACCGCATATGTATATTTATTTAATATCGTCAGAGTCCGTATTATATTAAGTTCATGCAACATATGGAAGCGTGTTCTAATCTTTCGGTTGAGCTCGGGTAAGCTCGTATTCCTTTGGTTCCTCAATTACAACTATTCTCCGGAATGATCTTCTGTTTCTCCTTTAGTTAATTATCCAATTCTTTCATATTTTATATTTAACTATCTTTTATAATAAGGATTAATTTGAAATGGTCAATTGTTTCAAATAAAAAAAATAAAGGTACCTTAGAGGAAGCTATATTGAAAATTAGCTATTTAATCCTTGTTAGAGAACATCAATCACAATAAAAACTACATTTTATTTAAAACTGCTTAATTTTACACTGATATAATATAGAATTTAATCAAAATCGTTAGAGCCGTTTTCGAGAAAATCGTAAAAATGTGTTAAATCGATTATAAAGTACCACTTCCGGTTTGCCAATTTTGGCGAAAATGTTGCTAAACAGACCATTTTGCGGGACTTGATTATTTGTACTCAGGGGACCTCAAAATCTGTATTTCCGTTGAAAACTGAGATTCGAATATTTTCACGACCGTTTAATCAATACTTTGCATTACTATATATTTCATATATAGGTAAGCAAAAGTAAATATTGTATTAAAAAAATAAATTCATGTTCTATTAATTAGATATTTCAAACAAATGAAATTATTTGTATATCATTTCAACGAAAAATTAACCGATTTTTGTAAAGCTTAAGGTATAACAAAGATCATTTCCGAATTTTTGCATTTGCATTAAAAAAAAATTACAACACTATTTATAAAATATCATTTTACAAAATTAAGGATTTTGTATAATAATAGAACCTAAAAACTATGTGATCGAATGTCGATTTTTTGGCTCTTAGATGGATCCAAGATATAAATTGATGAATAATAATACTGTTAAGTAAAAGTAATTTTGGTTTATTATTTTCAATAATGAACCGTTATGATCCAACAAAAACTCAAAAACTTTATCCCCACTCAAAATTTGAGGTTTTACGTTTCAGGATACATAGAATTCGATATACGAATAAAATTTTTTTGTCATCCGCCGTCCGCGTATTTTCTCCGAAACTACTGGACCATTTTTTTTCAACATTAATGGTCAACATAAAACCAAAATAAATGACTCATAGGCGTTGATGACCCTAGGGTATTACGCCTTAAAGCCGAAACCAACAACAACAACTCTTTCCTTTTCCAATTTTTCTTCCGATCTGCGATATGTATATGTATGTATATATATATATATCTATATATATATATTTTTTGTTTTGCTTGTACTCAGCCTTCTAAGATAACACCTCAATTTGATCTCTCTCGTTTCTTATTCAAGTTTAGCCAAATAGTCAGCCCAGTCAATTTTTTCATAGCCCAAAATGCCACAGTGAGCTGTAATCTGTAACGAAGACTATAATATTAATATTTCTATAATCATTGAGTTACTTGAGTATGGGTTACCAGTAGTACCTAGAACACTCCACGAGTACTTTAGGTACATTTTAGGAGCAATAAACAACCT